AGAGAGTTGTGTGGGTTTGTAAACCAACTCAGGTTGCCGTGGTGACAGAATGACGAGTGTCATTTAAATGTAAACAATAATTGATTTCAGCGTTCAGTCAATTAGAGCAGCACGAGCTTTATGTTTGTACAGTCTTTGTTATTAAATACAGAAAATGTTTTAATAATTGTAAGGCATAATAACAGAGGGCCCATAAACCTAAATAAATAAATATTTTCCCCGTTTTTCCTAATTAGGATAGTTTTACTTTTGAACTTGAAAATCGTCACACGTTTCAGTTCACGTCAGAAAAAAAAACATTAATAATATTAAACCAATAAAGTAAAATCTTAGCAATGCCACATGACATCTCCTTTAGCCAATAAAACTTTAAGGTATTTGCCATTTGCTTTACATAATTGGAAAACAGGAATGAGACATCAGCAGACATTATGCTCTCAAAGCACGATATTGAGGACAAAACCAGCAAAAACAACAAATAAATACGCAAATATAAAAATAAATGATTAAATAAATCCATAAATGCCTGCATAAATAAAATAATAGCCTAAATGAATAAATAATAAATATTCAAATAAATAAAAATCCTCAAATTCCTGCATCAATAAATATTTAAATAATGAATAGTGCGGGCAGGTAAATAATAATTGATAATAGGTCGTTAAATATATTTAATAAATAATTTTATGACGGACGCATAATCAAACATGCGAGGTAATTTTTTCGTGCACGCGCATAGCCATGTGCGCGCGGCCCGGCCTGGTCCGCTTATCTTAGTTTACAGCTGCTAGCAGCATATAATTATAATGATGTAAGTTGCAGCTCAATGCCCGGGAAAAGACAGCAGTCTGGAGCCGAGAAGAGAAAGAAAGTACAAGATGAATCTAATGAAATTAGTGAGGCTAGCTAACGTTTAAACTTCGCCACAACTGCTATGCATTGTGCTTTAGACGGGACATGCTCCATGAATTTTCACATTTGCCCCTCTTCCCCATGTTGCTGATAATTACACAAACTCAATTATTGTTATTAACTCGTGCATTACTTTACAATTCTGTTTGCACACCAGCTACATACTTTACACACGCACTGCACAATCAATCCACTGTTTCTTTTATTTATCATTATATAGTTATTGTGTTATATAATTATATATTATATCATTCTTTGCAAACTGCAGTTAGCATTGTTTATTGTTTTGTCTATTTCTACATTTCTTATTCTTCTGTTGTTATTGCTTGTATCATTGCATTGACAATAAAGTCTCTTTAGTCTTTTTAAAATAACAAAACTGACGAATATTCTGTGATTTCTGAAAGATCAAAAATATAAAATGAGTCAAATTACTGTAAGTCACATGCCAGAAACCATTTTTATTGCATGAAGTCAATAACGATATTTTTTTTCTGAATGTTAAAGTTTTTGTTAAAAAATACACTAATTAATTCCTAAAAACACAACTGTCTTTGATTTATACTGAAAGAAAGGGTCAGCTTTTGTCACCATAGATTACAGTGCAGATTAAATCCACATTTTGATTGTAGTTTGTAAACATTATGAAGTGCTCGACTAGCCTGTTGTTTTAGTATGTCATGAGTTTTTCTTTAAATGACTGTTTTCTTCTGTATTGTACATGGAGGTCAATGCCAACATTTGTTCCAAAAGAAGATGAGGCGGCCTGATCCAGCACTGCTCCAGAGACACCAGCAGCTGCACAGGTACAGACACAGAATGCAGCACTGAGGACCGTCAATCTCTACAGGTACAGAGAGAGCTTTATTCCTTACCTTTTGTAAATGTTTGAAATTAGGAATGTGTTTTGTTTGTGTGATTTTGCTCTTCTGTGGGGGCACCACAGTAAAATTTAGCATAGGGCACCCTTCTGGCCAGCAGCAGCCCTGCTCATTAGCATGTTGACTTGAGGAAAAGTAAATCTGGAACTATGTTCAAGAAATAAATAAACGTTTCAAGGGGGAAATAAACTTTTACTTTTCCCCCCCAACATTTGTGTAATTTTATATACATTTATTTATTTGCATATGGGGAAAAGTCTATGGCAGGGTATTGGAGAGGAGGATCCGGCCAATGGTTCACCCTAGGATCCAGGAGGAACAATGCTCTTACCCCTCATGCCACTGCTGTTCTCGTTCATAGCCTTGTCACATCTCGTTTAGATTACTGCAACTCTCTTCTCTTTGGTCTCCCTCATAAGTCTCTCCGTAAGCTTCAGTTGGTCCAGAACTCAGCTGCCCGTATCGTCACCAGAACCCCTTCTTCTCATCACATCACCCCTGTCCTGCAGCAGCTTCATTGGTTACCTGTTCATTTTTGAATTGACTTTAAAATCTTGATGTTAACATTCAAAGCCATCCACAATCTCGCCCCTCCATATTTGTCTGCCCTCATCCACATCTCTGTTCCTTCTCGCACCCTGCAATCTTCTTCCTCCCTCCACTTGTCTGGTCCCTCTTCTCGCCTTTCAACTATGGGCAACAGAGCATTTAGCCGCTTTGCTCCGCGGCTTTGGAACTCACTACCACCTGCCATCAGAAACATTGACTCCCTTACACTGTTCAAATCAAGACTCAAAACCCACTTATTTAAGATGGCTTTTAATACCTAATTTTATTTGCACTATTGCTGTGTATATCTTATTATTTCTCTTGTTGTTTTATTGCTCTTGTTGATTGTACGGTGTCCTTAAGTTGCTGGAAAGGTGCCTTTAAATAAAATGTATTATTATTATTATTATTAATGCGGTTTTCGTCCGGGCCGTGGTACACTGGACCAGCTCTATACCCTCACCAGGGTCCTTGAGGGTTCATATTAGTATGCCCAATCAGTTCCTCAACAAATCCCCAATCAGAGGCGATCTGTTGAGGGCCATCTTGTCCCTGTATGAACAGAGTAGGAGTCTGGTTCACATTGCCGGCAATAGGTCAGATTTGTTTCCAATGCATGTTAGACTTTGGCAGGGCTGCCCTGTGTCACCAATTCTATTCATAATTTAAATGGACAGAATTTTAAGGCATCCTTGGGCTGGAGGGGGTCCGGTTCGGGGACCACAGGATTTCATCTCTGTTATTCACAGACGATGTTGCACTGTTAGACCTTACCGGGTTTTTTTTACAGTAGAATACTGGCAACACTGTTGCCAGCTACTCATTGTAAAAGTTTGGTTACAGTAAGTAACTGGCAACAGTTTTGTCAGTTATTTACTGTAACTGAACCATTACAGTGAGTAGCTGGCAACAGGGTTGCCAGTTAATTACTGTAATAGAGCAGCAGGGCTAACTAACTGAAAACTGTACAGTTAATTACTGTATTGTTGTGTTACAAATCACAGCATTATACTGCATACACATTAATAGTACACTGTTAGACCTTACCAGGTTTTTTTTTACAGTAAAATACTGGCAACACTGTTGCCAGCCACTCACTATAAAAGTTTGGGTACAGTAAGTAACTGGCAACAGTGTTGCCAGTTAATTACTGTAATAGAGCAGCAGTGGTAACTAACTGGAAACTGTGTACAGTTAATTACTGTATTGTAGTGTTACAAATCACAGCATTATACTGCATACACATTAATAGTATGTCATATATAGTTATTGTAGTGTTATTAAAATTAATCAGTATTCTTAGCTGTTATTTAAAAATAGAAGGCATAACATTTATCAGACAAATATATTTTATTGTTTTGGCACCAAACAAATAAATAACAAAAGGTATAACAAAATTAAGAAATCAGCAGATATAAATACTGTCTTGCATATTACTGAGAGCCACAGGTCTGCACAGTAAGGCTGCGGTCACACTAACATTTCAGCAAGCAAAATTCTGTCATTCTATGGCACTGCGAAGTGGAATTAAACAAAGCGAGTATTGGAATTAAACAAAATAATTAGAGATTGAAAAAGCAAGCCAGAGAGGTCATGTTTTGATCTTTGATTGGTCTCAAGCAATCACATGATGTGATTTCGCATGTCAGCATTTTTCAAGCTTGAACTTTCCAATGCTGTGAATTATGAAATTTGTCGCATGAGCTAGCATTCCAGGTCTGCAGGACTCACATGCGTATGAATGGAAGTCTATAGGGAGAAAAGTGCAGTGTGACCTGGACTTTAAGCTGTAACTCTAATTAAACACACCTGATTAAACTAATTAAGGCTTGATAGAAATCTACAGGTAATGTTGAAGCAGGGTGGGTACTAAACTCTGCTGCCCTGCAGTTCTCCAGGAACTTGGAGTTTGACCCCCATGGTATATAGCAGGGGTGCTCAATCCGGTTCCTGGAGATCTACCTTCCTGCAGATTTCAATTGCTACCCATATCAAACACACCTGCCTGTAATTATCAAGTGGTGTTCAGGTCCTAATTAATTGGTTTAGGTGTGTTTGATATGGATAGCAACTGAAATCTGCAGGAAGGTAGAACCCTTTGACTGCAAATAACCTTTTTGATTAAAATGGTTCTATAATTTTTGAATCATAACATAATTATTTAGTAAAGATTATGAAATAATTATAAGTTATAACACAGAGAGACAAAGCTTTTTGAGTCAAAACCTAATAAAATGAATGCTGTGGTCAAAAACTTAATCAGTGTACAGTATGATGGGATTTTTTTATGCAGGTTTGTACAATAGCATATAACTTATAGGCCTAGTTTATGTTTAACATTTTTGACAAATTATTTTGTGAAATAAATAAAATAACCAATTTATTTAGACTGTGCAGTAACATGTTGTTATGGTTTAATAATTTATTTGAAACTAATAATCATAAAAAAGCCCTCTGG